CACGCTTCAGTCACACCTCATTGTTGACAGAGAGGAATGTACTTGTGTGTTGGAGTGATTCAAAATAAAGTAAACAATATGTTTGCACTCTTAGATGTGTGTACACATGTCACACACGTCAGCTTTTACTAGAACATAATGAATGAAGTACCACGTGTGTGTGTGTGTGACACACACACACACACACACACACACACACACACACACACACACACACACACACACACACACACACACACACACACAAAGAGCTCACACACGGGTTTATTTTTAGACTGAGGGAACATTTTAAGCAACATTTAGAAAACCAGGCAGCGGAGGATTCTTTGGATCAAACAACAGAACAGATTCAGGACCAGCTGTGACGCCTGTCTTCATCTCCAGGTCTCTGCTTCATGCCTTTGAATACAGGCAGATGCTTGAACGGCCAACGTCAGAATCCTTTTACTGCGCAGACCTGATCAGAGTGCAGGACTTCATGACGTTGTCCTTTCTCCAGGCGAATACTTTGAATAAACCTTCAGCTTTAGACATCAGATCCGTCTCCAGCTTCGTGGTTTATATTATTTTCTCACTGCATTTCCATCACAGCTGTCTGTACTGATCACTAGAAAAGGGAAACATGAAGACCCATTGATCTCTTCACCATGATGACACTGCGGCTGAAACTATGGGACAAAAAGTGTTGACTGCACGAAACACTGTACAAAATGTGGGGACCAACTTCAACCTAACGTCGATCGACCTCTGACCTCCGGCTTGCTGTCACAGCCTTAGAAAGTCACGCTGGTAATCTAACAAATGTTCCTGAACTACAGCCAACCCTGAAGAACAGACTCACCTCTTCAGACCTGCTTTTAATCTGGAATTAATGTTGTGTTTTATATATTTTAAGTGTGTTTTTGTTATGAATTTTCACCCTGAAAAGTGTCTCAGTGACAAGGTAAAAAAAAAAAATACCGGGCACAACCTCTCTCATCATACATTGTTTTAAATGACACTCACTCTTCGCCATAAATAACACAGCTTTTCCATAGGGTCAAATGACTGTAGGTCTCTGTACTGTAGGTCTCACTATGTATGCGCTCAACTTTATTACTACGCAGCGGAGGTGTATAGCCGAATCACAGCCCCACCCTTGAGCAACCACACAATTTCACTACATATTTTACTTTTGTAACTCTCAATGTTTGTGATAATAGAACTCCTCGTGTACTTGTACAGCCAGCCAGTCATATGTTTGCATTAAGTGGGGTGCTGCTCTGAGGTGTTGAGTGATATTACCTAGGTCTTCTTGAGCCATACACTGTCTTGAGATCTTATCCATTGTATCTTTGTCTTGTGATTTTTGACTGAAAGGGCAAAAGGCTAGACCTAGTTTGGTTGAACTATGTGGCTCCGTCCCTGCTTTTGACAAATAGGTGTGCGATTTGACATGCCAGATTGACTGAAAATTCTAAATATTGGTCATGTTGGGATTGGGTAGGCGTGGTGTTACTTGTTGGTACGTGGGTTGGGGGGGGGCCCATGAGTGCTCAGTGCCCTGGGGCCCCTGGAGGTACTAATCCGGCCTTGCTTTTGTCTGTATTCCTGCTAGACAATTTTCCCAGGATAGCTATATTTTTTTTTCTTAGAATTCACAGTCATAAAAGAAGTACATATTTCAAGGTATGGACTTAATTGGACACTTGATCTATTCAGTGTGCAAAAAGAAAACAAATAAAGATAGATATCACAAATGGAAAGTGACAGATTATTACAATTAGGTTTCACATGCCAGACGTGCAACCTACATGCCTTTCCTAATAATAGTCATCTAGGTGCATTTCTCCATGTTTACTGTAATACAAGTCATATACCCATTCACTTTGCAGTATTTTCTTTTAGACTACACCACTGTTACATAGTGTTAATTTCTACACAAGAATGTAGTACTTTTGTTCATAAGCACTAAGTATTACAAAACAGCATAAACAGCAGACCACATTTAAAATTGTGCTTCTTTGTTTTAAAGTAGCTACACACAGGTTTACAGTAAAGTCCTGCCTGTACCACCATCTAGTGGTTGTGGCCCCGCTCTGTCCACAACCTGTGCAATGACATTTCACTTATGTGCAACAATATAACGCAGATTCATTAGGTCACTAACGCAACGGACCACCACGACCAACATGGAAGCTTTTCCACTCCAAAGCCTCACAGTTTTACCAATAATGTATGACTGACAGGTGATATTGTGGAGGTGCATTTAAAGAAAAACAAGAGAAATGATTGCTTAGCACCAAAGATGGAGACAAAGCAGAAAAAACATAGAATGTGGCTAACCAATCAAATAAAGGTAACAAAACATGTTTCATAGCTGGTGGTGAACCTATAGTATAGTGCCACAATTGGTATCAAAACAGTACCCAGCTGTAATGTCCATAATATAATTAGTAATGCATACTGTTTAGTACCTTGGTAAAACAAGGTACTATACAGGACATGCAAAGTGTGACTCTAACATAACAAATAGTTAAATATAACGATTTAATTATGATCCTGTTTAAACTGCAATAGTAATAATAATCTCCTTTAGGATACTTCAGGGTATTTGTGCTATTAGCCTTTTATCCAGCTACAACAACCTCAGTGTCGAGTTAATCAGACATCTCTCCTGAGACTAAGACAAAGGAAATGATGATGGCTGGAACCGGAACACTTAAGGGCACTTTTTAACCAGAACCCAAGTCTAAAATATATAATCAATCAACATCAGACCCCAGAGACTTATCAATGCTCCTGGAAAATAAAGACTCATATCTCCCATATACCTAAGTAACTGTAGTTATATTGGGAGGATTTTCTAAAATGTACATGTACACACCACACAGAAATGCTTTTAGTACAGTATTTGCCTGGGTCTCATGCCTGCCCCTTCACAGTTATTACCCGCTCATATATTATTAACACTTTAACGTGATAAAGATCTTAAAGCAACACAAATTATGCAAACGTTTTGCGTGATTGTCCCATTTTTCGATAAAATCTGCCAATAATTTGATTGCTATAATGACAACAATATTCCACACATAGGGGTCATAAACCATAAATAAACCCCAGAGGTAGAATTTATGAATTCCTATTTTGTCTCACTTGTAGTGAAGACATTGTGGAAATGTGCAGAATTAAGATGACAGTAAGAAAATAAAATGTATATTCTCTGAAATAAAAACGTCCTAACCAGCAACTTCAATATGTGAACACAGTGTCTCACAAATGTACAGCTCTCATCTTTGTGCTTATGTGTATTCAGGTTGTTTTCTTGAGGATAAAGTGCAAGTGTGTCTCCTTAGTTCCTACACTACCCATAATGCTCATGTGCTTGGTAGTGTAGAGTCCCATCCTGATCTCAGTTTCCCAGAAGGACCTTAACACTGCAACTGCACTGATTCATATGGATTGAAGATATGCACTGTGGAGGACAGCAAGCCACATTGTGACTTTCTGTTGTGTTTGTTCTACTTCTAAGAAGCAGTTCAGTATTCTGAAAGCTAGTTGTAGTATCGTGTGACCCTGATATTACAGTTATATGAGCACTGAAATAGTTCTGAAAATTCTTGTACAGAATGGTGACACTAACCGGTACTCCGTGAGAGCCTTGTAACATTGTCCATGGTGGTGCGTTCGTTTTGCAAATACAGTGAAGCTTTGGGAAAGTGCCATCAGGGTGGCATGCTGGTGTGTCTCAGCTGGGCTGTTGGCTGAGAGCGGGCCAGGCCAGGGTTACATTCAGCTGCTGGTTGTGTTGGATCAGCGATGTGTGTCGATAGTGGAGGACCAACTCTCTCAGGGATGGGTACAGGTTGTAGGGCTCAGCGAAGCCATACCCAGTGGATGTCCTGTAGATCACACAGTGCTTCACATCCCCATCCAAACTGCATGAGACAAGAAGGGGGTTTATAATAATAATATATTAAGATGGCTAGGTCCACCACAGGAAAGGATAGTTTAATCACTCGCTTTTGATAAACATCTTCGATACATTATGTTTAGAGAGGGGCAAAATGTTGTGATTTTTAAATGCTTAAAATATGTAAATTGGGTGTTACTCACACAACAGAGCAGGCAAAGGACCCTTTTTGAGTCTGGCTGTCTCTGATGAGGAAGGTCCCGTCTCTCCTGCCCCTCAGCAGCTCCTCTGCATCCTTACGTTTCATACCGCCAACGTACCAGCTCCTCTCGTCCTGGTCGCTATCATCTGCCAGAGTGTATGGGCTAAAGGGTGGTTTGGAGGTTAGAGGGTTATCTTAGTTAGGAATTATACAGTATTCGACCAGAATAAATAAGGATACTCACTCTTCTTCATTCCTGATACCAAGCCAATCATCTATCTGGCTTTGTCTTGTGCCTTGTTGGGTAAGCCAGCTGAAACATGGACACAACACGGTAAAGAAGGATATGTACTGCGAGATGTACCCTATCATTCCTATTTCATTATATGACATTATTCCAGAAGAGGATACAGAAGGCTTCTCTATCAAGATAGAAAGCTTTGCATTAAAGCAATTAATATACGTTTCCAGAGTATATCATATACATAGACTTTCCTCCACTCTGCCAAAACAGACTATCTTGAACATGAGGTGATGGAGGTTAGACTTACAGCAGGTATTGATCTCTGATCTTCCTGAGCTGCACCAGGTCAGGCTTCAGACAGTTCATTTTCTTATCAACCTCCATGTGAGCCAGCGCTTTATTCCTCAGCTCCTCCTCCAACTTCTTCTTGCTGTTGTGGATCTCCTCCACCCTTGACTGTAGTTCATCTGAATTGCTTTGAATTCTGGGAAGAGAAAAAAAGAGAACAAAGAACTTCAGTAAACACATCGTGGTCTGCTAGTTGGCTGTGAGCATGCTGAATGAGTCAGTAGTGACTGGGATACCATAATGCCAGTAAGGCAGTAGTCTAAAAAGAAAACACTGTAAAAAAACATGTTATTTGCAAACCCCTAGTACTTGAGGTACACTTGGTACTGTGGAAAACAATTGCTTTATCAATTCATGGGACATCATTTGATTGGTTCTTGTGACGTTCTTTTAAATACATAGGATGAGATAAACAGAACAAAGTCACAACATTGGAAAAGAAATGCTGGTATTTTGGGGCTTACTTGTCTGACTCTGTCCTGCTGTCTACTGAGAGGAACATGTCGATGTATTCTTTGCTGTAGCGTTCTTGCGTTTCACACTCCTCTTCAAAGATCCGTATAATTTCATTGAAAGCCTCTATGGCTGTCTGCTTGCTCTGCAGCTCCTGTGGAGGAAAGGCAACACATCTTACTTTATATACAAGGCCTTACAACAACTCTCTGTTGTGTTAGAGTAATCAGAGGTAAAACATTTATCCCAACAATATTTATTTTAACAAATAAAGTCACAAATTAATTCAGTAAAATTAGGTCTTAATGATTACCTGTGAGGTTTGGTTAAACGTCTCAAACAGACAGTCATACTCTTTGCTCTTCTCTTTGTATTGACCCTGAAATATCCTCAGCTGTTCTCCAACTGCATCAATGTCAACCTCCATCACAACCTGCTGCTACAGATAAGCAAGTAAAAACCAAATATTACCAAATCAATGTATAAAGCTCCTTTAATGCGTCTGAACTAACATTACAAACTGTTTGGCACTGTGATATTTATTTACAATTTTATAAAATAGTGTTGACAATTTAAACTAACAGTGAAATGAACTCATCAGTCATTATCCTTGTTTATTTCCCTGCTGTGATTATATGTAGGCCAACAGGATGTAAAAAAAAACAGCAACACCAAAACAATAAATATGACCAACAAGGATAATGTTTTTATATTTAGTACTAATATAGAAGTAACATAAGCCGGCACACGTTCAGTGCTCAAGGTTTATGAACCCACCTGCTGATATCTTGTTATGGGATAGAGGAGCCGTGTGTCTAGTTTAGAGTTGTGCTGGGCCAGTGACTTGTTCTGGTAATACTGGACCAGGTCCACCACAGAGTGAAAAGCCAGTGGCTCAGAAAAGCCATACTTCCCCCCATGATGGTAGATCTTTATCAGTCTGTTGGTGCCACCTTTCCTGTAAAGTCAAAGCAAAGTTATTGTTTTTCTCACTTACTCTAAGTGAGAAAGGTGATTTTGGTTATGCATATTCTACAAGTCTGATCTTAATTGATATTTATTTTGTGTTGAAGAGTTTCCACTTTTTTCACACATAAATATTCTTTAAGAAATGTAAAAAATATATGTTTCACCTCCTTAAGTCATTCAAGAGACAACTGTTGATATTAGACTCAGCTAAGTTGATCAGCATATTTTAAAATAATAATGTCATCCATTTTGAGATCTTTATTTTAGTATTGCATCTCTTTGATAAACACACACTGTTTTCCTAGTAAAGCATCATTCAACTGACCACCCAAACAAAATCATCATTAGATCTTAAAAGTAACATTTTGGCAAAGGGACTTTTTGTGTTCCTGGTATCTTTGAATGTGAAATACAACATTTTAACCCTTAGATGCACGAGTGACTGGACCCTACACTCTTCCATAAGTGGGTCAAAAAGGACCCGTATTAGAATAATATGTGTTTTTATGCAATTTTTGTCATTGTGGTTAAATCACTTGTATAATATTTAGTATTATATTTTGGTTCACACTAGAAATATTTCATATTTAATTTTTCACTATTTAGAATTTTAGAATTTTTTTTTACATTTGGAAAAAAAACGTTTTCCCTTAGGAGTCCATAGAAAATGCATGCGGGTAATTTTTTACCCAATTATGAAGCTTGGGGTATTAATACAAAAACTACAATTTCTTAAAATGTAAATACAATTTTTGAATGGCATGATATCCAAAACATGTTTTTTGATGAATAGCTGGAATATGAAAAGATAACAAATGTTTTATTATAAAGATACTTCAAGAAGACCACCTCACCAGGTCAAAAAAGACCCACTTATGGAACCTTTGGGTAGTAATACAAAAACTACAATTTCTTAAAATGTATTAAATGTACATTTAAAATTTGTATGGCATGATATCCAAAACATGTTTTTTGAGGAATGGCTGGAATATGAAATGATAAAAAAAATGTAATTACAAAGATACTTCAAGAAAACCACCTCACCGGGTCAAAAAAGACCCACTTATGCATCTAAGGGTTAAAGACCTTGCAGAACTCTTCTCAAATGTTGCTGGAGCAAGACAAATGTACTCTAATTCAGACATGGGCAGTATGTCAGCATCGTTCTTGTGGGATCAGCATAGGATGAATTTCAGTAATGAAAATATGAGAGGTGTTTGTTATTGGACTTATCCACTGATGTAAATGCATTGTTTTTGAAATCCAAACTGTTCTCCTGCACAGATCTCTACCATCCAACCAACTGTCTCATCTCTCAATCCTGATAAATATTCAGCAGGAGCCAATTGCAAGGTGTAAGAAAGACAGTAAAGCCAACATTGATTAAAGTTGGAGAGTGTTGGTTCCCTCTGACAAACGCGAGACAGATGAATGGAAAAGCACAACTGAATGGCAAAGGGTGTTATGTTGCTCACCACCGGAGCATTGGCCAAAGTCTAATCAACAAAGCTTTATATCTGAAACCTAGTCCGTCCTGATTCAACTAAAATTAGACAGAAACCAGGAAATGTATAAAGTTACATTATAAAACCAGCAAAACTAAATTTAGACTTTGAAACCAGACAACTAAAGTTAGACTTATAATAACTGAGAATAATACCTGACCTCTGACTACATGTACTAGATTTGGAGGGAACTCAGCCTTCCGACAATATACAGAGTACTCATAATGACTTATTACATTATTAGCTGCTTGAACACTTCATTAAACATGCAGAGCCCGCTTCTAACAAGCACACAAAACATGGAGTTAAAAGTAGTTACCTTAATGTGAGAGTGTATTCCCCCTCAACCTTACTAGAAGCGTCTCGGACCAGGAACGTGCCGTCAGGAGTGTTTCTCATCATCTCATTTACTTCCTCTCTAGACAACCGCAAAAACAAATAAAGTTTTAGAGAGACTTGCAAACAAAGTGTGTTTCATATGAATAAAATATGTAGATAGTGTAAAAACTAAGCAATTTGCATAAAAAAGATCCTTTACATATTGTATTAAAGTCGGGATTTGTGTCAATTAATTTGGCAAATGTAATGTTCCGCACCCACAGAGCAGGGGAGAGTCAGGCACAGCGTTCAGCTGCTTTGTCCACAGCTGCCAACATTTCGCCCAACCCTATTCTGTGTTTTATTAACAGTTGGTGCATCAAATCATCAACACATTTAGGAAAATATTCAATACCTTGAGGTATTTCCCCAGTACCACTCTGCCTCGGACAGATGGCTGTTATCAGAGCAGCAGTCACACGCGGCCATCGCTTTGGTTATGTTGTTCTTGGGTGGAGGTTCTGACCACAAAGGAAATACACATTTTAATTACAATTACAGAAATAGTGCCATTCTTGAATTATTAATAGTGCATATATTGCATCGTCTGGATTGTTGGAGACGAATCAGGCTTTAATTTGTCAAAAGACAAAGAATGGTTAAAACCAATACTACAATCATAATCAATAATAGTCTCTCCATCTTCCTATCCTTTTTCATCCATATCACCATCTTCTTATCAATCAACTGTATGTCATTTTTGTTGTGATTTAAAGAAAGGCAATAAAGGAGCTAGGAATAGGAAAAATACAGTATATGTGCTAAGAAATACATTGTATATTTCAAACAAAAGATATAAAATATGCTAAAAAAGATCTGTTACACTTCGGACAAGCACAACAAAGAAATGTTGGAAAGTACCTCCTTCCTTTACAGCGTTGGTTTTCCGGTCAGTCAACACACCATCCTGATCAGGGGAGGAAAGGTCCTGCAGGAACGCTGTCATCGTGCGAGACTGAGGCTCGCTGTCGTTTTGGCCCATCTCAGGCTCCAAGAACTCTGCAACATACAAAAGCCACCCAGTGTTGCTCCTGATGTCAGCTGAGGCCGGTCTGTATGTTACTGTCTGCACTCGAGGGGGAGTTGAGCACACACTGCTCGCCCACTGACAAGGACTCCAGAGAGAGTTGTCGTTGTGTTGCTTAGTCTTGCACCATGTGGGAGAGTCTGTCCAGACTAGTCTGCTGGCAGGCGACACTGTCTGACTGCCTAAAATACCAGGACGGGCACTCCTCAACACTCGGGCACACTCTGCTACGCTCAGTGCTGCTTAGTGCTCGACCTCGCCTTGCCTTGCCTCGCCTCGCCTAACAAACAACAGCTGTCTGCAGAAAGATGCCATGTGGGCCTGAAGGAATGGAGCTGACAATGTGTTTGTTAGTGTTTATTATCCCTGTGTGTGTTAATGGGGCATTATGAAAGCAGGGGAAGGTGAGAACCTATCTGTCAGGCATTTCCTGAAAGCATTACATTTATGTGTGAATTGTTTACTCCTATGTGGCTATGCAACACATGAGCTGATACATGTATGTTGTGAGTGGCTTGCTGTTGGTAGTTAATGTAACTCATCCCTTCAGCACTTGTGATGGCATGTCAAGAGATGCATTGAATAGCTGCTGCAGACTGAGCTGTATGTTCGTGGAATCATACGTATGCCGTTGTAAAATTAGACGGGGTGTGAAATCATTAACCCAGGGCCTACAAACAGAGGCTCTGTTAAAACTTGCCTGGTATAAAGACCTAAGAAAAGCTCTGCGTGTAATACATCTTGAATCTTGGTGAGTTATTGAACTCACTAAGCCTTTTTAAACTATGTGATCCCAGCTGCTAACATTTCTGGTGGAGTTTTTCAAATTCCCCCGGATAATTTCAGTTTATTGTAGAGTTATGTTATAGCCGTTGGCTTTGAATGATTTGACTTTGTTTCGGAGAAATTTGGATGCTCAGTGACTTCCCAATGGAAATAGTAAAATGTGCTTTGATGTATGTGCAGTTTTGCTGTTCCTTTTTAAAGTTTATAACATGTGCCTTTTGTAGCTTTCATTACAAGGTAAAAAAAAAAGGCAAGATGATTAACTGCCAAATGTATAGAATGTTTCATATTGCACTGTCCTTCATTTTAAATTGCATAAATAAACTGTTGCAGTCAAGAAAAGGGGCCAATCAGACTAGTGTCAAATTGAGAAATCTAGAAGAACTGCCTCATTTAGTAATATTGGTTGAAGTTATTCAAATCAAAACCAAAATATATAACAGTCAATTATTAAAACTGCTCACTGTATAAACACAGTTCTACCAAGTTTTAACTGGAATCACCTGGAGGCTTCTTACCACAGTCATTCTTGGATGTTGTAGTTGACTTATTCCTTAAGATTCTATTAACACAGCCTTGTATCTCGCCATTTATTTATTTTAAATGAAGCCATAACATTTTTGTAGTATGTTACAATGATCAGTGATTTCAAAAGTTTATGTTATACAAAAACCAAAAATTCTGCCTGTAACATAAATAAAAAGTTTGCTTTTTATTTCAAGTGACATGCCGATTTAAAGATGACATTTTACATAATAAACACAGTTAAATTATTGCATTTTCTATACTATAATGCTTCAAACGATTCCAACTTGATGTGAAGTATGATCAGTAGCAATATGTAGGTTCTTTCGTAGAAAGATAAATTTCTTTGGATGCTTATAATTGATTCAGAATAGTAAAAAGTAGGAATCTCGGCATAAATCACTGTTGATTTTAGACAATCATAAACACTGAACATATCACAAATGTCTGAGTGGACTGGTCTTTAATTTAACAGGCAGGGCACACGAAGACGAACCAAACTACAAAACCACCCTAACTTCTATCAACTCATCTCTAACCTTCACATTTTCAATGTCTTACTTTTACTAGAAAATGTTCAATGTTGATACCTAAACATGCTGAGTACAGCACCATATCTTACCCTGAACTGCTGGTGAAGGCTCAGACCCGGTAGCCATGGATATGTCTGTCTGCTGTTGTGATTGGTTAAGCGTTGATGACATCATCACAGAAAGTGCAGAATGAGGCTCAGGATTATCCCCCATATGGTTGATGACCATAGCCTCGTCCCTGAGATGGAGGGATGCTAGTGATGACGTTGTGAAGTCAGCTGGCTGGAGCTCAGTGTCCTCAGCGCTGTTTAGAGTTCTGAGCTGGAAACCCTCTTCCGACATTTTCACAACTCGGACTGAAAAGTGCAGCTAGGTTTTATTGAGGTGGTGAAGCAGCAGGATGTTAGGTGCCACGGTGCTGTTGATCACATAGTATCAGCTTACAGTGACAGTCATGGCTGAGGATAGAGAGGGTGATGGTGCTGAGTTCAAGGCTGCCCTGTGTTGTGGAGGTAGAGCATGTTCCTGAGCCTGAACCCCCGCTTTAACATCATCTCAGAGCAGAGCCATGACATAGCCATGAGATCATGTGTATCACTTTGATGTACTTAGTGGAAGTTTTTTCTGTTCTGCTTCATAGTCATTCTAAAGGGATTCATACCATGGAAAACAACCACAGTTTGTTACTGAACAGCTGACTGCCTGCTTCATAGATGACTTGACACTAGTTATTGAGCTGTAAACCCACCAGAGACTGACGGACTGTAGCACAACTGTCTGTTTCCTTCCTCTAGGATTGCGTATCATCTCATGTCAGCAAAACCTATAACAAAAAAAGGCATAATAAAGTTTGAGAATCAGTACTGTAAAATAGGGGTTTGGAGCCTTTTAAGCATGCAAACATCTGGCCAAATAATATTGTAATAATTTGCACTGTTTCACAACTCTATTGCTATTATTATTAAGTTCCAGACATTCCTCAAAGTGTGTTGATACTCAGTAATTTTGCAAAAAATAAAAGGGTTGTACAGAGAGACAGCAATTTGGGGAAATAGAAGAATATTGTAACCATCATTGTGACCCATTTTTTAACTGAAATGTTTCCATAACATTTATTCTAGGTCTCATATTGATTTACACGTCTGGTTGTTTCAGACCAAAGTGCAAAATGCTGCACATTTTTCAGTACGAAAGCTTTTTGGTAATATTGAGTTTTTGCATACTAAACCAACATTAAGTTAAAGTATATAATTGAGTAGAACATTTAACAGACATTCCTGGCAGGTAATTTCACCCCCTGTTAATGATAAGAGGAGCAGATTGGGTGCAGACCAAGCAGTATGCAGGGATGGGTTGTATCAACCATAATCCACACTCTATGAGTAGTAGTGATTGAAAATGTCTTCTTTTTACTTTTTTGTACAACTTTTACGAAATTCCCAATCCTAAATGAAATACGAAAACATTACGGTAATTTTTCAGTCAAAAAAAGATGTGTAAGAGTATTACAAAAAATGTAATACATGAATTAGCAATTACATAGAGTATGTGCGCAACAGACAAAATCTGCTCTTGCATAATAACTTGAAACATATGTATTACAATGAAAATGATGTTGCCTCAGCACTGGATCCTATTTGTCCCAGTAGCAAAATGTAACATAAAATATACAAATACAAAAATACATAATAAAATGTACTCTCTCACAAGGATTTCCCTGAATTGTATCTTTCCCTCTAACATAGCATTTATTTATTTAGTGACGTCCTTGAAATTTAAAAAAGGAAAATTTCTCTGCATGTAATGTTCATAGGATTTAGCATTTTTGGGAAATCTGAGTTGACATTTTTTTTTTTATGACTGTTATATCATGAAACCCATTGCATGGTAAATAATTCAGGCTAAATCCTCTTCCTCTCGCAAGCATCTGGGATTAGTCAGCGGTTTATTATCCTCCTATACCCTTAAAATGTGACAACCTATTGAAGAGACGTAATATGGGAGTATCCGCCCTACATGAAGAAAATTATCTTAACTTCATTTTCAAATCAAAAATCTAAATCTGATTTTAATTTGGGATAATTTTGGAAACATGCTTGATCTGATCCCATAAAAAATATACAATGTTAACAGAAAAACGCGTCATAGTTGCTGTGCACTGCAACTATGACGCGAATTTACTTAATGTACTAAATATGGACAATTATTGCTTCTTAACACTGATTTTAGGATTCAGAGGTATCAAAAAAGCTTTAGAAATACTGGTTATGTAACTCAAATGTATTTTCTCTGTATTTGTACTGTTAATTGAAGGATACATTTATATGTCTGTTTCTATAAAAGAAGTACATGTGAAATAAAAATTGAAATACAAAATTACTGAGTTATGCAAAATTGAAGATTAACAGTCCAAGTGTTGAAAATGGCGTCGGCGTTAAAATACTTTCATTGGTATGCAGCCATGAAGTCTTCACGGCTTGATGTTCAGTGGACATTTTGTCCATTTCCTGTTTAGACGATGGATAAGCATGATTTCAACAAACTTGTGCAACCTATTTCACTGTGTAAAAAGAAACCATACATTAAAACTATTTTTTTTAATAAATATTTAATAAACTTGCTGTAAGATCAACATAAGCAAAAAACAACTGATCAACGTTACTAATTCATGTTTGTAAGAAAAATGTGCTGTCCCAAACTAGGTTGTTTTTGAATAATTACATAAACCAAACAAAGTAAATTAAGTTTCCTCTGCTAATGCCTCATCATTGGATTGGCCGATCTATAACGAAAAGTGTTGGTGAGAAGCAAAGTTGGAGACATAGAAATTGTTGGATTTTGGATTTTATCGCAGCGAGTGTCAAGCTATTTCAAATCGTTGATCCACCATTCAACAGAAAATGACAAACGTATTTATTTTTGATGATGACCGTCCTCTAAACATGTTTTAGTTTTGAAGCAATATTCGGTCGTATCTGTTATCGATTAGTGTTGTTTCCCAAAAACGGGACAACTGATGTACGCCATATTCCCCCAAAGCCTTCAAGCTTTCCATCGTCCCATAGCTGAGCTTCAAATGACGAAGAGATGCAAAGGCTGAACATGCACGGAACTTTCAAAATGGCAACTTCTTGTGTAGATAACATCTAAACGACCCAACAAAATTAAATATCATGAGGAAACTCAGCAGGACGAACAGTTCGCACCTACCTGGGCCAAGACAGAAGGGACCGGGCGGCAGAGGAAGCCAACGTTTCATCACATCCACAAAGCGGCGAAGAGAAGAGGATGGACGCACACGTGGCTCAGATCAAACCAACCACCGGCCTCGGTCCTCACGCCATCCAATGTCCCTCCACCCCCCCACTCCTCCCATCCCGTGCTGTCTCTCCTCCTGTGTCCTCCATCTTTTAAAGATCCTCTCCACTTGGATGTTGTCTGTCCCCTCTGAGTGCCACATTTTCCCACGATGCCATTCCTCTGGGTAAATCCTCTTCTCTTCACTGATACATTTCAGGTCTTCATGCAAATCAAGCCTTTTCCAAGACACTTCCTACTTAGTTTTTACTTTTGCATGCATTGCGAAGAATCCAAAAACTATACTGCACTAGGGGTGCAGTACAAAAAAACCTATGTAACTATGAACAAATCTAGAAAAAACATGTAGGTTTAAGACCTTGTGCAGGTAAAGGAAAGGCAAAAGGAAAAGCAGCTCTACTCCTCGTTCTCCTCGCAACGTAACTCTTTTTCACAGTTTGAGAGCACTGTGGATGCACAGTGGGGGGACACAAGCATGAGAATGAGTCAGTGGGAAAAAAACCTTCAATATAAATAAATAAGGGAAGGATGCCACTGTTGCTATACAGAGCGAGGGGCTTAGTGGTCTCCTGAAATCCTATTGGCCGGCCTGTTGCCATGTGCTCAGGAGTCAGCAGAGATGCTGCTAACAAATCAAGGAAATGTTCTAATATTAGACTGTATGTATCTAGGCAGCAGGAGCCCCTGACCTCTCAACTCAGCCAGCGTTACGTTCCACTTCACAGATCAGCATAATGAAAGAAGTGGTGTGGAAGTAACCGGTTAAACATTTTTTTTACGGCACTGTAGACAAAACAGCAGACACAGCCCCCCACCACCCCAAGTCCCTCCATGATATCCCATTATCCCAGTCTGTACAGTTACAAGCCGACAGAGAGGAAACACAGATTCATCCTCTGTTGATGTCTGATATTTATGAAATACATACTGTAGATACACGTTAGGATTACAGTGGTTCTGTAGACAATTTGTCAAACATATATAGTTTGTAAAATATATTTTGTAATCATGTTGAAATCATGATATTTTTCTAATGTTGTCATGAAATGTCCAAGGTCCATGCATTAGAAATTAAACATATAGTCACTAATGAGCAGAAACAAAAATACATTTACTTTTAAAGCATGCTGCCTTTTGCTTTTGTTATGCATCCTATTTTACCTATAGCCTGCCTTTGTTATATACTTAAAAATATCTAATCAGCTTTTTTCATTCTGTTGATGTTTAGGAAAACAATCACCAAAACATTTTCGAAAGACCCATTGCGAATAGCTCCATCCTTATTTCTAATCTTTTCTGATTATTTAGCATTGTTGAACAAAATTTGCAGCAAAACCATCTTTAGGATTGTATTAAATAATGAGTAATGTTTTTACTTTAAAAGAGAATGCACTTCACATTTACATTTAACAGATAATGTCTCCGGTAGTTGCTGATTTAGTTTACTATGCGGTGCTTCAACAGCTGGTAAGTAAATGCTCCCAATACAATGGTGACTGATGACATCAAGGTTAACTAGAGAATGCAATTCCTGAAGAAATTGCTAGTGGGAATGCTTTATGCTGAAAAGCTGACGCTAAACTGCTATGCTGAAATGTAACGTGTAAGAAGAAAGTGAAGAATATAGATTGAAATTATACATGAACACTGGGGGGCTTGAATGTGTGATAAGAGAAGAAAATAAAGTAAAAAAGCTTGGAAAAGTAGCAGAATATTTGAACTGCAAACTATTGAACTAACTTGATGGCGAATGATCTGTCGCCATGGCAACGGTATTTGATGACACCCCATAATACGCTTAGATATGTTGATGGCTGCATCGTTACCAAACCTGTGAAGTTTTGGGCTGTTAGGATCCTTTTCACTGAAGTTATGAGAAAACCGTGTTTCATGGCGAGTATTGTGTTGCTATGGCAACAGCATTTGAAGAAATCTCAAAACTGTCCCGTAGATGTCTTCACGGCTGGACTGTTAGCACACATGTGAAGTTTGAGCACTTTTTGAAAATGTTCATAGGAGTTATAGCGACATCATGTTTTATGGCGAGGGATGCATTTCCATGGAAACGTCATATGATGACACCCCATAATTGACGTAGAGCTGTTGAGGGCTGGACCATTAACCATTATCTAAAGTCTGGTGCTGTTTTGACCCTTTTCAAAGGCGTTACCGACATCATGTTTTATGGCGAGGGATGCGTTTCCATGGAAACGGCATATGGTGAGATCTCAGATTTGGCGTAGAGCTGTTGAGGCATGGACCGGTGATATACAAGTGAAGATTGGACGTCGAATGGACTTACAGCCACATCATGTTTCATGGCGAGTGGTCTGTCGCCATGGCAACGACATTTGATGACACCCCATCATGCGTTGATGGCGTTGATGGCTGCATTGTTACCAAACCTGTGAAGTTTTGGGCTGTTTGGAGTATTTTCACTGAAGTTATGAGAAAACCGTGTTTTATTACATTACTCTCTCTCTTCTCTCTCTTGCTCTCCCTCTCTCTCTTCTCTCTCTCTCTTCTATGTCTCTTCGGCATATGATGATGACACCCCATAATTGACGTAGAGCTGTTGAGGGCAGGACCATTAACCATTATCTGAAGTCTGCTGCTCTGAGCATGTCAGTCATGGGAGCCTGCCTGCAGGCAGCAGTCTCAGGACACCTGCACTCTGAGGACACCTCCACTCTCAGGACAGGAAGTGCACGCTAAGAATT